GTACGCCAAAAAGACCGATCCCACCTTAATGATATTATTGGGTGGTAGCGAAATGTGTTATAAATACAAATTTTCCCATTGGCTTTGTTGGACACGTTTAGCCATCAACAATCATCAACCATCAACAAAATTACCCACAGTTGCAACAAAGGACCCAGAATCGACAACTTAGAATCTCATTCATATATTCACCTTCTTCAGTCGCTCTTTTTCTTCCGCCTCTGACTGCGAAAGCGCCATTGCTAACTGCAGTTCCTCCGCTTCGCGAAGCTGCTCCTCAGACGGCTCCTTCTTAAACGTAAGACAGTTATTGTGATTGCGCCCATAGGCAAATAGTTACCTTCGATTCTGATGTATCTGCCGTGCTATCTTGCCCCTCATTTTTCACCGTTGAACTTTTAACATTAGGAGCGGCTGCTTCCAGAGACATTGCTGGCCTATTCAAGGAAGACAGATGTAATAAATTAGCACACATTCCTTTCATTCACAACTTCACGTAACTCACTCGGTTTAAATATACATTTTACAACCGTATACGGTATATCTGGGTTTCTAATCGCAATCGAAGTCATGACTGTACATAGGCAGTAAACGGGGATCGTGTGCTACGCATATCATCTAAGTGAGAGTTCCATAACACATCATATATCCCGTTAACAAAACTACCCTAAGCGTAAATAAAGTACAAAACTGCTATCCAATCTGGAATAAAGGCATCAAGCCATCAGACTAACCAACGATGAACAAAGTTTTGTTAATTTAACTTCTGTCAAGAATTGTATAAGGCACAAGGAGCACGAAAGACCGTGGTTATGAAAGAATTAAAAAGTAACTTTATGTCAAAGCACTTTAACAGAATAATTTCATCGCCAAACATTCCTCGTTTGATCAGCCTGAGTTTGCTTCTATGAGTTAACATTTCACATCTTAGAACCGAAGGAAGCGGAGTAACCAAATTTTATAAAGCTAACCCGGAACAAAGGTTATAAAGAAACTTAAACTAAAGACGATATGCGCCTTTCGACTGTGCTGCGCAACAGAAGACTGAACTATATCGGCCCGTGATTTATTTTGATTTTCTGCCTGCCTTACGCATGAATTGAAAAGCAGCCAAAAATCATCAATTGCCATAAATTACATTTGGCTTAATTTGACTTTTTCCGAGACCTAAATATGAAGATAACAGCTTCAGCTGCAAATTGCTACCTGTGCCACCTTTAATACGTAGCATTTTTATGCGAAATCATAATTTAAAAATGATATAAAGAAATCATATACGTTTTTCAATATTTTTTGTAGATTTACATATTATATATTCTTGAAAATGCAAAATATTTTATTTACCACAACGAAACATTCCTATTATGATGATAACGTTTCTACCTTTATCGCATCGAAACTCTCAGGTGTTGGTTCTACTGGTGTTACCGAGAAAGCATTATCATATTCGTGCTTTCTCTGAAATATGACTGTCTATACGTGAGCAATAATCATAGTTCTTAGTGTAAGATACATTCATTAATGGCACATTTTATGGTGTGACTGAAATAAAAGAATATATTTACTGCATAATTTAATTTCAGAGGCACTAATCAGCTAGTAATGAGAAAACGTCAATAACGACAGGAAACGATTCAGCGCAGACTGGATCAGCTTAACAGTGCATATCAGTCTTCAAGGAACTGTTACAGAAGTGGCAAAGGTAGTAAGATGGCTCA